AATTGAACTCCAATTGGTTGTGGGCGATTTGAGTATTTTGTTTTAATTATCACGATCGGAATTACTATTTGCTTTTGCAACAGACGACGTTAATTTTATTTAGTTTTATTTATGCATTTGTGTATATTATTATGTTCGATTCAAAGAATATAAGACTCGTGTGTCGAACAGAAATTATCGATAAATATGACTTATTCCGTCTACACTGCTGCGGTAAACGTACCAATAATTGTACTTATTATTTTTTGTTTGAGACTATTTCGTTATGTTTTCTGCAAGCAAATATCAATAATATCATCCTTGTATTCAAATAAATTAACCTAAATGTTGCCTTTCAAATGCTAATGAAATACTGAATATTAAATAATCAAATACAAAAATACCTTAACAGTAAGGTATTTAAAACTAAATATTCGTTTGAAAACACATACTACAACAGTCAACAACTAACAAATACTTAACAGTTAACATCTACAATCTACATATAAAATTGGTTTGTTGTTACACTAACAAGTAACAGACACTTTTAGTTTTTAATACGACGATTTATTTATCTATTACCTTAGGGGGATGGAATATCGAAGGATATATTTTTCCTTCATTCTGTAACCTTTTGCGATCAGTAAGCAAGACAGTATCACAACCAGGTACAAAGCACCTGAGTGGCATTGTTTTTTTTAAATTTAAAAATATTGATTAAGTATTAGATTATAATAAGAGATTATAAGAACTAGTAAGCCAGTAAGGAAAGGAAGTGTAATTATATTAAAGGTATCCGTCAAAAAAATTATTATAATATGTAATAGTAATATAGTGTAAAGGCGAGTTCAATTTCGGCCAATGTAGGTATTTTATAAATATCATGACAAAATAAATTATCATGATAAATATAGTATACACCTTGATTTCGATCCTCTGATGGTAGCTAGCGCTCATGGTGCCAATCTCAACTGGTGTAGATTTTTCGTTCAATTGATAAGCCGAGTGTCGACACCTGATAAATACACCTTGGTTTCGGATTTTGTCGTATACGTATCATTTTGTCGTCTCAATTATTAATATTATTATTATTGTCTTTATTATGCGACCAACGCCCTTTTTTTTGTTATCGTTCTTGTCGTTGTCGTCGAATTGTCTATCGTCTGTCGTCTCTCTTTTTTTTTGTTTATTCTATATTTTTTTCTTGGTCCGCTATTAAAGCGACCAAAATTGTTGTATTGTTGATCTGCTAATAAAGCGATCTAGTTCATTGATGTGTGACGTTAATAAAGCAACCATAATTTTATTGTAAACCAATACGTTTTTAATTGATGGTAGAACCTCCATCTAGTCACCCCCACTGAACTAGTAAGTTTGTTTTTCTTAAGTACTCTTCTTCCCAACAAYGCCATGCTTGGACGATCTTGAGGGCACCGTCGATGCCGTCTGTAGTCCCTGCCAGCAACTTACGTCCATTGTGTGAGAGGCCGCCCAGGCCGTCTARTTCGACATCGGTCTACTGCAACATCCGCCGTTACCCGGTCGTCCAGTCGTTTTGTGTTCAGCGTCCGCCCGCCAGCACCCACTGTGGGCTGTGTGAGATGCCACCCCGGTCGTACAGTCGTGCCAGTCTCCAGCAAGCTGATCTTCTGTAGTTGATAAGTTAATTTTAAGTAAAGCCAATTGATTGTAATTATACCCTGTGGTCATTGCACCAAACCGAATCGACCACAGGGCCCCGGTCACCAGAAAATAATCTGTACCATCCTGTTTCCGCATATGTTCTAAAGCTCCTTGGCGTCGTTCAGGTATATTTGGTTGCTTATCCAAGTTCGCATCAGGGTAGTTGGTTACGTTGCCTACCTACATCAAGGAGCATCTGGTCTTGTGGCACTCCACAGGATATTTTCAAAGTGTCACTATAATGATCATTAAGTTTAACTTTTTGGGTTCTATTGCTTAGAAAGAATTTTAATAAATTATTTGGCAGTCCACGAATACCTGTGTTTTCTAATTTTAATAGTAATAAATTATGATCAACACAATTAAACGATTTATGTATATCAAGGAAAATACCCATAACTTTATTATTTTTATCAATATTTTTTCTTATAAAGTTATCAACATTAAAAAGAAGATCCGTAGTAGATAACCCTGGTCTAAACCAAATTGTTGCTTAGAAAAAAATTTATTTTTATTTAAAAAATCAAACATTCTGCTTTTGATGCATTTTTCAAAGATTTTTGAAAGAGTTATAGATAATGATATCGGCCGATAATTTCCAGATAATAATTTATCACCCCCTTTGAATAATGGAACTACAATACATTTTTTTAAATTATGAGGATATACACCAGTTTGTAGAGATTTATTATAAATAATTGATAAAGGTAAGGATATCAAATTAGAAATGTTTTTAAGTATGTAATTTGATAATTCATTTTCGTAAAAGATGTATTATTTTTTATTTTATTAATGTGATTTATAATTTCTTCATTACTGATTGGTTTAAAAAATAAACATTCATTAATGATTTGATTATCATTAACAAATAACGTATCATGGTTTACGTGTTCAATTTCTAAATTATTTCCAACATTTCTATATAAAATTCATTTAACACGTTACAGATTTCTTTTTTTGATTCGGTAATTAAACCGTCTTTCTTTATTATCTTATTTATATTACATACTTTACTTTTATTTGATTTTCCAATTACCTCATTTATAATCTTCCATACTTGTTTATTATCTGACTGAGCGATTAGTAACTTATTTTGATAATAAAGTTGTTTTGATTTTCTAATTAAATCATTCAATAAGTTTCTATGCATATTATAAACATATTTAAAACGTATATCAAAGGGTCTTGATTTTAATTTGGCAAATAATTTTTCCCTATTTCGGATTGAAGTTATTATTCCGGTAGTAATCCACTCTTTTAGTTCAATAATTTTTTTAGGTTTGTAGTTATTTATAGAGAATGTAGAGTGATAAATGAATTCTGTTATTTTATTATTAAAAATTTCAACCCTATTGTCTACATTATCGATATTTAAACAGGAACACCAATTTTCTGTGCTGATTAATAAGTTTAAGTGACTAAAATTTACCTTATTTATATTTAAATTTTGACAAGTATTTATATTATTAATAACTATATCAGATAAAATCAATGTTGTAGCATAATGATCGGTTATGTCACATTTTAATGTATATGAATTTATTTTATTTGTATTCTTTAATAAAAACAGTAACTCCGTCACTTTTATTTAGTGTTCCTAAAGAATTAAAAGATTTATAACCATTTAAAGTAT